GCGGGCCGCCGCCGCCACCATGAAGAAGCAATTCAACCGCATGAAGCAGCTGGCCAACCAGACCGTGGGCAGGCGAGTGCGCGGGTCCGGGCCCGCAGGGAGTGCGCCGGGTGGCGGCCGGGGTCGCGCCGGGTGGGGACCGGCGTACGGGATCTGAGCCCGGAGGGGTGAAGGGGCCGGGCGGTGGCGGTCCGGCTGCTCTCCGGGTCGCCAGCTCCGGTCCCCTGCCGCCGCCCCGCACCAGGCACGCGGGGTCCGTGCCGGGGGCTGCGCCACGCCGAGGCCTGAAGCCCAGCTCGGAGCCGCCGCCGGAGCTCCCGGGAGCAGCGGGGTGGGTCGGCCTCCCAAGACGGCCCCGGAGCGGGTCCCTGCCGCCCATTGTCCCGGCCCCGCCGAGCATCGCCCTGGGGGAACTGGACCGAGCCTTCCCCTACCCTCCTCCGGGGTTTGCTCTGGGCGAAAACTCGGGTAACCCGTGAGCCCCAGGCCGAGCGAACGCTGTGCTCTGCGGGCGATGATCTCAGGCTTTCCGGGTCGCCCCGCCGCTGCAGACCCTCCACCTCCCACTGCCTGATGGCACTAAATAAGTAAGGGGTCATCAGAGCCCATCGGATCCGCCTGGGAGGTTCGGGCGTCCATCCAGGGACTGTAGAGGTGCCGCTGTCTCCAAACCCGGGCCCCTATGGACCGGACTGCCCAAGATCTTCACATTGAGAAATTGGGAACTGGGAGGAAAGAATTGTGGAAACGCCTTGGGACGACTTTTAGTTTATTTTTTTAATAGCTTTTTAAAAAACCCTTTCTCCCTTTGGATTTGGAAGCCGATTCTTCTCCAGGTTTCTTTGGGACTGCTTTAATGCTTGACAGGAAACATTATCGATTATGAAATGACAGAATAGACAGGAATTTGTAGACCATCAGGCTGTTGCAACAGGAACCATTGGTGGTTTTGAGAGCTCCTGGAGGTGCTTGTCATGTGCCCCATTATCTGGGGCATATCTTTCAAGGTCTTTTAGGGCAGTTGGCTGTACTGGACCTACTGACTATTTATTCTGGGAAGAGATATGAAAGTGTGAGTTTTTCACAGCTTTTGCTTCTTTTTTTCAACAGTTGAGTCAAAGGGGGAGTTTGGTTTGACCAAAGCACGTGGAGATAGTTCTTTTTGTGTGTGTACCAAAATGCTTTTACTTCCCCTCCCGTTTTCTAAATTTGCTTTTTACTGTTTCGGTTCCCCCCACCTCCCCACCCCCTAACTTTTTGCTTAGCGGCTTAGTTTTTTTGTTCAGTTTTGTTGCTACGCCACCCTATTATCTTAGTGTGCATTTATCCAGAGTTGATGCCTGTCCCCTAAACCCTAGCAGTGCCCACTTTTCTGTCATTTGTAGGAAAATGATAGAAATAATGCTGAGAGTGTGGTAGACAGGGTGTTAGTGGCGGCCAGTATTTCATCGGAGATCTGTAAATGAATTCTAAGATAATTCCTTGTGAGTTTTCTTACCCCCGCCCTCCTTTATATTCTTAGCAACATGCCTTGTGAAATCAATATTCGGTGAGTGTCAAGACAGATTTGTCACATTGCCTTTCTGGCCTGTTTATACAGTCAGGAAAGTGGTGTTTGCTCTTTTTGCTCAAAGTTCTGAGGCTTTTATTTTATTTATTTATTTGACAGAGAGAGCACAAGTAGGGGGAGCTGCAGGAGGAGAGGAGGAAGCTGACTCCCCACTGAGCAGGGAGCCTGACCTGGGGCCCTATCCCAGGAAGATGGGATCATGACCTGAGCCGAAGGCAGATGCTTAACCGACTGAGCCACCCAGATGCCCCAGTTCTGAGCCTTTTCAAGCTACCAAGCCAGGCAGGGTCTCTGGCCCCAGTTCCTCTGTAGCAGCTTCTCTCTTCACACTTGGATTCTGGCCATAGGTGCCCCACTTTTAGTTTCCAGAGCAGGCCGAGCCTTCTTACCCGTTAGTCTCTACCTGCAGTTCTCTGGAGCCCCTTTCACTGCACCAGCCCTGTAGCTGCCTTCTACTCATTCTTCAGCTCTCCACGCAAAGGTGTCTGCCTCTAAGAGGCCTTCCCTGATGCTCCAACACAGACTGGATGGCCCCAGCCCGGGGAAGTTTCAGAAGTCCACACAGCACCTCGTTTTCTATAATGCAGTGGCCATTTTCCTTGTTACTGTTCTCCAGTAAACGAAATGCCTTGAGAGAGCCCTTGCTGTCTTTCTCTTTCATTTCCCAGCGTCTGCTGTGGTGCCTCACATAGGGTAGAAACTCCACAAAGATTGTCACATCTAGTGTAGATCTAGTTCTTACCAGATCGCCCTGGCAGTGTGAGCCCAAGCATGGGAAAATGAAAACTGGATAGAGTCAATGGTGATTCATACTGGGACTGTAATTCTGGCCCTGACCTTTGACTCTGTTTGAAAATCTTTATTGCTTGATGCCAGTGGAAGCCGAGGCTATTACAGAGCTATGAAGGGTGTGGCAGTTACGCTTCCCAAATCAAAACTTTTTCTGGGGGAGCTTTTGGTTCAGTGCTGTCGATTTCCTCGACACATTTGTATTTCTTCCACTCAAGTCATTGTAAAAGCCTCGGGAGGGAACACGGAGGCAGGAGAGAGCCTAGAATTGTGATTGTGTGTTATCGTGCTATTGGTAGACATCAGAAGCAGGATTCTGGGTGCATTCAACACAAGAGGAAGGCTAGAAGGCAAAGAAGGTCCCCTGCACCCACGAGTGAAGTCATGTGTGTGAATGGCATGCCCATCCTGTGTGTTATCCATTCATAGAGCATTGCAAGGCCACGTTCTCGTCCCAAGATCGAGGACCTTGTGAGCAACCCCACAGTGAGGTTCCGTGGGACGAACATGGGGGAGAATCAGGAATGGCTGGAAGGAGGGAGTCCTCATGATGCGATGTATTTCCAATGGGAGGATGAGTGTGTTTCAGCAGACGTTTTGTGTATCACAGGCACCACGCTAATGCGGTGGTCTCATGACAGGGGTGTCCCAGAGAAGAGAATTAGGATGGTTGATTGATTGATCAAGGGGCACTTGTTGAGCCCACACTGTGTGCCACTGTTCAAGGTATTAAAGATTCAAAAGTGAACACTACCCAGTTTCTGCCCTGAAGGGGCTCAATAGATTTGTGGAAGAGATAGACAAACAAGAAATAATTATAGACCATGAGATAAGTGCTTAGAGAGGGATCGCTAATACAGTGAGCAACACTCCACTCTCAGTGGGTGGAGAGAGGTACCAAACCCAAACCAGCAAACCAGGAGAAAATTGGAGCAGAGCCTTTCCCCCCATCTGTAAGCACTTCTTTCAACTTTCTCTCCTATTGATTAGGTCTCCTTTGCTTGTAAGAGAACCCAACCCTAATTGCCTTAAGCCAAGATGGGAATTTCATTAGCTCGTATGTGACCCATAGAGTCCAAAAGGGAGTATGGCTGCAGCCAGGGCTAGATCCAGGGGTTCCACTCTCTAGATAGGCTGTGTCCACAAGGGGACATCCCCGCCCCCACCCAGTTGTCCCTCCTCCTCAGTTCAAGTCCCAGAGGGACAGAGACTACTTTTCACTGTGGCCAGAGCCCCAGGATGGACTCTGAATGTGTCCAGCTGGGTCCCATGCCTTGCCCTGGAAATGGGACTGGAGTCAGCCCCACCCAAACCACAGGGACTGGGAATGGGGGACTGCTGGCCCCCCAGAGAACACTGGGTGCTGTTACCAGCAGGAGGTGAGAAGGAGTGCTGGTCAGGATACAGTAAGTAGCATGTCCTGTCTTTTGTAGTCCTGCTCTAAAAAGAAAGATGTATTTTGAAAATCCCCAGTGCAGACAGATAATCCATCAGATGCAGGTGGTTCTTTTGGGGGAGGTGATAGCCTCAGTGGAGGAAGGTGTATACCAAGGTGAGAAAACCCAGAAACGTTGAATTTGCGAGGTAGAAGTGTCAAGGAGCAAAAGAATCTGAGCCACCACCTAGGAGAGTTGATGACCTAGGTAAGGCTCTGGAAGGGAGTGTCTCTTCGGGTGTCGGTTTGTGCCAAGGTTGAAGGACTACTCCCTGCAGGTCCGAATGCTTTCCTAGATAGTAGCCTCTAGAGAAGTCAAGGCTGCAGGCTAGTGAAAGCAGAGTGACGAACAGTTGAGGGCCAAGGGGGACCTCGCCAGTGTCTGTCTCAAAAGAGGGGCGTGTGGGAATATGGGCCCAGTGTGGCCTGAGCTTTGGAGTTTTCGAAAAAGGCCTGAAATCTGGACTTTGATGAAACTCAGGTGGCATTTAATGCAAATTAAAGCACCACCATGACACGACGTGGGGCTCAACAGAATCTGTCTGTGGCCAGACTTGGTCTGTGTGTGGGTCACCAGTTGGCATTTGCGTGTGTAAAAGGATAGGGAGGTGAAGGATTCCTGTTACAATTTTCCTTTTCTCTTCTGTACCTTACCCTGATACCACTGCACTCTCAGGTCTTGGATTTGTGGAAGAGCTTGGTCTTTCCTTTTCAGAAATCTTTCAAAGATCTGATAGTCATACTCGTCAGTACTTCTCTAGTGGGTTAGCTTCCCACGTGCTGTCCCAGAGCACCTGGCTTGGTTCTCGCCTACTGGTGCTTATCATTTCTAGGTTATGAGGAAGGAAAAATGGCTTGCCAAGTATGCCCAGCTACTCAGTGGCCGAGGCAGGACTCGGGGCCAGGGCTTCTGATTCTGCATCCCACGTGTTTCTGAGGACAGACCCTGGGCTGGCTGCCTTTTCACCTGATTCACCAGGAAAGGGTCAATGTGGATTCAGTGCCTTTGGTGCTGGCTGAGCTGCTGGGCTAGAGGCTTTGCGTAAATGATCTCACTGCCTTCTCCACAGCAAGTCCCAGAGGTGATGTTGTTTATTCCTGGTTGAATGATGAGGAAGGGAGGACTCAAAAGAGGTCATCAGGCTAGTTCATGGCAGAGCTGTCATGAACCAGAAACCAGGTCTGGTATTCCAAATCAGCCGTAAGTCTGGACTTCACGTGGGCAACTCTTCTTGGAGAAACCCCATTTGGAGTTATGTGGGACGCTTTCATAAAATC